TACAATTATTTGAGATAAATGATTTTATACTATACAAAAATTATTTATGAGATTTGATTTGAAGAAACATATGAGTCCAGTGAACTTAATTTAATATAACACAGTTCTTCTCTTTTTGTATTCATGACACATAAATCTTCAAATATGAAGCTACAGTACAATAGTTCATGATTGTAAAGAAATCTTTTTGTCACATATCAAAATACTGATTACACACAATGATTGATCATCTTATTTGATTTGAAATTTTTTTCTTCTTCTATTTCAAGAAAAATAAATGAAGTAAAAAAAAAAATCTATGAAATCATTTATTTGAATGTTTTGAAAAATTTTGATGATCATTTATGTATTTTAAAAGAATATATTTCATGCTTCCGCATGTGAATAGAAGCACTTTAATATGATTGCAGTCATTTCCGGATCATGCGAATCACTTCACAAAAAAAAAGAAACAGAAGAAAGCAATTCCTTTTTTTTTTAATTTTAATTGACAAAAGTCATAAATATACGTTTTATTTGTTTCTAAAACAAAAAAAACAAACTGTAACTCGTTGTCTAATAACTTAATATTTGAATGATAATTTAATCTCAGAAAAAATTAATTGACGATATAACTTTCTCCTTTCATATACATACATTATGTTATCACAATTATACATAGAAATTTACGAACAACAAAAAGTAATACATATACTTATTCAAAATATGAACGAGATTTTTTTTTTGTATAATATTAGAAGAAACATTCATTAGGTCAACAATATATTATTTCATCGTACAATTGAGTGAAGAAAAGTAAATAATATTATAAAATACGAATAAAATATAAGTTGGAATGTTAAACCAAAAAAAAACATCACAAACATTACTGTTGTTTTTCAATTGCAGCAGTTGTAACATCTCGATACCATCCGGCAACATCAACAGACTGTTCTCTTGATTGAATAAAAAATGAATGAAGCATTAATGGACCATATTTTGGTCTTTGTTGATAATCTTTAATTAAACTATTTAAAAAAAAAAGCAAATTATCAAATACAATATAATGTAGATAATATTTACCATATATCAACAAAAGATTGAAAATTGTCAGAAAATGTAAGATGAGTAGGTAATTGAGGTGAATCTTCCGTAACAATGCGTGCCATAACACCAAAATCATTTTCACAATTTGAATATGGATGTGCATTAGTAGCAAGTTCAATCTAAATAAATCTATATTTGTGTGTGTGTGTATATAATCATTAAAAAAAAATATCAACACTGTTCAAAAAAAAGAGAAAAAAACAAAGTTCATTAAAATCGTTTGTAATATATTAACAAATCATATAATAGTCTATATCCATGATATTTTGAAAGTTATCAGGATTCAAATGGCTTAGATAGATCAATCTTCAATTTAGTTTACTCAATGCAGAGCAAACAAGACTACAGAATTAACTAAATACCTTTTATAAGCTTTCGTCCTCAAAAATCGATCTTGAGCTAAATGCATTTAAATCGCATGAAATTTTCAGGATATGTTAGGGTTGGAGGGGAGAGTCTATAATAAAATTTTCAATCCTATAACATAATGTTTTCGGCAGATATTCAATAAACAAATGTCGAAAATAGCGTATTTGAAAATCCAAAATTCTCTGTCGGCTGTCATTCTATAGATTTAAATTTCTTTTTACTTGAAAGAACATATCAGACTGCACAATACTCCTTCTTTTTTTTAAATTCTTATTTTTTATGCAGAGAAAAAGGATAAGAAGTTCAATACCTTGAAAAATGGTCGTCTATTTATAGAAGTGCTTCTTTTATATAATAATAAAAAAAACTTAATTCAAAAAAAAACGAACTTTCCAGCTTCACATGTTCTTTCAAACAGGTAACTAATTACAGTGAAGCTCCCTCAGGAAATCTGAGATGCACGATTAGACAAGCATATTTTTCAAGCAGAAAATGGTGGAAACCATCTAAAATTTTTAGAGAAAAAACGAGATCTCAAATTAAAAAGTCATGTCACTTATGAAAAATCAAATCTCAAACTATGTTCTTATACATTTATTTTAATTTCGATTTTTCTAATGAAAATTGACTTTTTTGTTTTGAGAGAAGCTTCATATCCTTATTTAATACTTTTATTTTACTCACAAGTGAAATTCCTAAACTCCAAATATCAGCTCGTATATCATAATTAGGTTTTTCTTGGTTCGATGGTTCAATACGTTCTGGTGACATATATGCAGCACAACCAGCATTTCTTGATTTAGCTCTTGAATCAATAAGTACACCACTAATACCAAAATCACATAATTTTATATTTCCTTGTTCATCAATTAATATATTCGATGGTTTAACATCTAAAACGACAAAAAGAAACCGGTTATCAAACTTATATACATATATATATAAAATAATCCAAACCTCGATGTATAATACCATGTTTTTCTTTCAAATAACTCAATGCAGTGACTGTCTAGAAAAAAAAAAGCAAGATTAAAAATAAAAATAAAAAAAATTTAAACATTTACAGAAACTGTTAATTTTCCAAGAATAGATTCAGGTATAGGTTGTCGAATAAGTTTAAGAAGTTTATCAAAACAAGATGCCATTAATTCCATACATATCCAAACTTCTGTCTATATATGATAAGAAATCAATGAAATAGAATAATAATTTTTTTGTTTTTTGTTTATATTACTTGTCGAATAAAATAACCAAGACAACAAACAATATATGGAAAATTATAACTTTTTACAAGAACATCTAAATCCATAATAATTCGTTTATTTTCTTCATTAGATGCTGTTCGAGGCATAACCTAGAATTAATAAAGAAAAAAAAAATATATATATATATATGGGGATGAACAGTCTGACCGGAAGACCCATTAATATTTTTTTTTGTTGTTGTAAGGATAAAACATACTATTGTTCGGGTCATATGAGAAAGAATCATAGATAACCCTGGATTGGTCCGAACAACGCCCTGTTTTATCCTTACAATAGTAGAGAAAAGTTGCCAGCTCACACGGTAAGTTAGTAACTTTTCTCTATTATTGTAAGGGTAAAACAGGGCGTTGTTCGGGCCAATCTAGGGTTATCTATAATCCTCTCTCATATGACCCGAATAATAGTACATTTTATCCTTGCAATAAAAAAAATATTAATGAGTCATCCGGCCAGACTGTTCATCCTCATATATATATAACATTTGAAATAATAAAAATAAATACTTTAGCAGCTAATATTGTTTTAGTTGGTTTATGTTCCATTTTGAATACTGAACCACATGAACCAGAACCGAGCAAATAGTCTTTTACAAAGTCTTTTTGTTCGATAAATTTTTCCTAGAAAGAAAATTTATATAAATAAATATTCATTCTTATGAAAAGAGTTTTAAAAAATTTCTTAACAAAATCTTAAAAAGAATTAACGAATGATCGGACAGTTTTTAGAATTGACATCTTTATTTATATATCAACTTGTAGATCAGAAGCTATCCTACAAAATGT